ATACAGTAAGACCTCTGTAAGTTGACCACCCAACAGACTGTAAAAATCTGGTCAACATATGGAGGTGATCAACATAAGGAACTAGGCCTGTTGTACTGACATACACATGTGGTGCATGTCCAGTCTATGAAAATTAGGTCAACTTAAGGAGGTAGTCGGTGCGGGCAGGTAGTAAACTATGGAGGTTCTACTGTAGTTAGTGTTTAGATATGATAATTCAATAAGTAATAAATTTTTAAACATGTACTTTATATTTTCAAATAGAAATAATTTTCCTTGTTATAGAATATAGAACCTTTAAAAAATAACATAATACTTGGAGATAGTAATTAGATTTTTAAAATTGTGTTTTAAAAAATCAGTTCTTCAGGTGCTGGGAATGTAGCGGACCGTGTTTTGGCTCAGCTCTTAACGGAAATGGATGGGATTGAACAGCTGAAGGATGTGACAATTTTGGCAGCCACCAACCGCCCAGACAGGATAGACAAGGTAGGAGAGAACAATTATGGGCATTGTATAATTAAGAACTGGATTTGATTTTTCTCAGCTTCCTTTTGTTTGTCAAATTATTTTCTAATCAGTTTTTCATTTGGAGGATATGGAAGGATGTGGGAACAGTTTCACCATGCACTGAATAAATTTGTCTGAGTCCATTGAGACAGAACACCCTTGCACATGAGTTACATGAAGCAGGTTTATTACTTATAGATAGGCAGCAAGAGACAATAGAAGCCTCTGATTCATTGCAAGTCAGTCCCCCAAGGTTTAGGAAAGCTGCCCTGGGTGGATGGAGTCTTGATTGCCTGTGCCACCTTCACTATAGCTAAGGGACTTTGGAAAGCAGCTGTTTGGGGCAATGCAACTCACTGGGCTAACATGTCACAGGTCATCCTGTGTTGGTGGAGGACTGGAACAGAGTCTGGTCTGTTTCAATCAGTGCCTTCCTATCTCAGGATATTGCCTTCCCAGCGGGTTCTATAGTGATTATTGAGAGCCACAAAGGGGGAGAACTGGGTTAGTCCAAGACCACCCAGAGACCAGTTTTGCAAAGGATTTTAAAGTAAAGGAAATGAAGAGAACAAAGAAAAGCCTTTATTTATGTTTTTGTTGCTTATAATTCAGTATTAATGAAACTATTTCATAAGTCTTTAATATTCCCTCCCCTATATTGCATCATACTATTAGTATATTTCTCTAAAGAAATGAAGTTTTGAAATTCCTTTTTTGTTTCAACTAATTTATTCTCTTGAAGTTTTCCATATTTCATTTATATTAAAGTAAATTTCTAGCTATTTAATACTAGTTATACTCAAGTTATCATCAACATAACTTTCTAGAAGTCTTGTCCTAACCACTGCTTTCAAAGTAATTGAATAAAAAAAAAAGATTCTATTTTCCTACTAAGTTACTTAGGCTGTGACATTAAATTAAGTAGTATAGGTATAAAATCAGTTTTTCAAACAATTGCTGCTACTTTTTTCCCAGGTCATAGTTAATAAAGAAGTTTGCTAATTTAAGTACCTCACTTATATATAATTTTTGTAAGGATTTAAATTGAGAGTAAAAAGTTGTTCTCAGAGCATGAACCAAGGCAATAATTCTAACTTTTTTGTTGTTAGCATTGTTGCCTTATGTATAACCTTGTGAGCTACTTCCTATACATTTATACAAATATTTTCATTTTTAAAAATGTGATCTTAAAACATGATATTTTTAAAGTTATGAATGGAGCTTTTGTGAGAAGAAGCCATACTTTAGTTCAGTTAGGCCTTTTTCTGTGTGATAAAGATTCTGGTTATATTCAGTAGGAAAGCTTTGGACCTTAACAAATCATTTCTTTACTGATAATAGTATTTTATTAGAGGATGGGTGTGTTCTGAGTATTATATGATGGCAGTCAGTGTTGAGGCATTTCTGAAGTTTGGACAAAGGAAAGAACTATATTTTAACAAAGATTATAGAAGTGCTGAAAGAGCCCTTAAAGTTCACCTAATTCCACCTCTTTCTTCACAAATAAAGATTCTGAATTCCTTGAAGAAATTCATCTTTCTCCTGCTAATAATTCATTGTATTCTTATGACTTTTGTTTCCTGGTTACCCCATGGCTAATGAGCTATAAAATTTATTAGATTTCCTTTTTACCAAAGCTTAATCTAATAGTGGCCTTCTTTGGTTTCCCAATGTTGATTATCCTTGATGTTAGATACATTTCTTGGATTAGGATTTAAGGCTTACAACAAATGTCTCTCCATTTTTATAAATCAAGCTATATGAGTTGACCTACTTAGCACTTGTATTTGTTTTTTCTTGCTGTATAACAAATTACCACAAATTTAGCAGCTTCACTTAGTAGCTCACATTTCTGTAAGTTAGAATACAGACACAGCGTGACTGGTTTGTTTGCTTAGGGTCTAACTGAAGGCTGAAAACACCGTGTTAGCTGGATTGCATTGTCATTAGGAACTCAGGTTCTTCCAAACTCATATGGTTGTATCGGAATTCACTTCCTTGTGATTGTAGGCTGAGGACTCAAGACTGGATTTCTTTACTCGACTTCAGCTAGGGGCCACTTTCAGCTTCTAGAAATTACCTGCATCCTTGCCACGTAGCACCCTCAGCCTTCAAAGATAGCAATGGAGAATCTCCATTACATTTCATCCATGTCATGTCTCAAATTTTCTTTGCTAGGAAAACTGCAATTCCTTTTAAAGGCTTACATGATCAAGTTAGGCTCATTGAGGAAAAATCCCTCCATCTTTAAAGTCAGCTGATTTAGGACTCATTTGTAAAAGCTTTTCACAGTAGCACCTAAGGTTGGCATGTGATTGAGTAAGTGGGATAAGGTGTGTGTCCATCAGGGGAGCTGCATTTCGGTACTGCCTTAGAATTCTGCCAACAAGAGTGTTCTTCAGTATCTTTCCCCCACCTCTACCTGAGTTCTCTTCTGGGCACTAAGAAGTTTCTTTCTTTCTAACATATCCTTACCTGTCATATGACTGGCTATAAATCAGTTCTTTTAAAATGTCCTTGCTCTGCAGAATCTGTTTCTTTTTTAGATGGCATAGTTTTTCTCTGGGATAAATTTTTCTTCAAATTATAATCTTCTTTAAAATAGAAAAGGATAGGTCAACTTAAATTTCCTTTTTAAAGAATGCAGTTTTTCATATTTCTTAGTATGTAATACATTGTAAGTCTGATATTCAATACAGGGGGCTTATCTGTTTTGCTTTTCCCTCATCAGACCTAAATTGAACCCCAATTGTTGCATTTCACAGTAAGGTATAATCTATTCTCACCGATACCTGATGCAATAGAGAAATTTCCAAAGGTTGTAGATTTCAGGGATGGAAGTGGTTTTTTTCTTTTACATTTCATGTTTTGTTGTTATGTGTTGCCTGTCTTCTAATAATACCAGCCTTTAGAAGGCAGGTGGTATGTTCCCTTAACAGCAGTTCATAAGTGACAGTCTTCAATATGGAGTTTGAGAAATAAAAATGTAGAGAATAACTTACCAAAATTCTAGTCATATTTTTGATCCTTTAAAAAATATAACTTTGAATGTTCCAGTTGTAAAAACAGTTAATTTTCTCAAAATAATGTTTTAAATGTCAATATTACTACAACCTAATGCCTCTTGACTAATTAAACTTTGCTTACAGAGGCTTCAGAGAAAAGTGCAGATTTATATCAGCATATACGTAGCATATGTGTGTATGTATCTATGGATATATTCATGTGTATATGTCATACATATGTCTTATATAAATGCACACATACTTTATTTTTTGAAAAGTAGAAATTCAATTTTTTTAATCACTTAATACTGGAGGAGCACATTTAAGATACTGAAAATGTTTGCTTATTAGATGCAAAGAATTATTTTTATTATGTTAGGGGGTGGCTAACAGTCTTTAACTTAATATTCAAATTTTCCAAAATTTATAATTTGCAGCAGATGAAATAAAATCATTGTTTGAAGCAAAACAAACTTGGTAAAATATTTTTTGAAAGTATTTTTAAGCAGTGTAAAAATGGTTTCAAAGTTATAAAATTAAATGTTGTGCTTTCAAGTATAGTTTTGAATTTATTACACAGAAGCAGAGAGAGAGAGCATATTTTAAATATATATATATGTATATGTATATACACATATACATATATGTATACATGTACATATATATATATCTCAGTAGTCATGCAAAAAACCCTGCTTTAAATATTTAGTGTTAATTATAAAAAATGATTTCATAGTTCATCCATTTCTATTTCTGGTAAACTTCTCCATTCATGTGAAACATGAATTTTTTAAACTATCCTTTTGTTACTATATCAAAAGTCTGTTTCCTTCTCAAATTCTCAAAAGTTTGTTAAAGCAAATGTTAAAGTTGTTAAATAAAGCAGGTATTTAGTAGTTCTAAAGAGCTACTACAGAGCATCATTAATATATTATTTAATAGTACTATACGAAAAGTTTCTATACTTGTATGATTAGGACATGGCTAATCATGACTGGGCACAGTGGCTCGTGCCTATAATCCCAGCACTCTGGTAGGTTGAGGTGGGCAGATTGCCTGGCTCACAAGTTCAAGATTAGCCTGAGCTAGAGTGAGACCCTGTCTCAAAAAAAAAAAAAAAAAAAAAAGGTGGGTGTTGTGGCAGGCGCCTGTAGTCCCAGCTACTCAGAAGGCTAAGGCAAGAGGATCACTTGAGCCTGAGAGTCTGAGGTTGCTGTGAGCTATGACGTCATGGCAGTCTACCAGGGGTGACAAAGTAAGACTCTGTCTCCAAAAAAAAGTGCCATGACTATGCTCGTAGAAACAAAACAGTTTGAAGACCATTAAAACAACGACACGCTGATGTGAAATGAATATAGTTTCACCACCTTTGTTGTCCAGAGGAAACGGTAGTGAGAAGAAAAGAAGTGACAAAGAATTAAATTTCATGTGTTGATGCTAAAAGGTAGAGATTTAGTTAGGCTGAAACTAGGAAAAAAAAGTCTATTTTGGTGGCAGAAATATACACATTTAATCTAATTTCGGCTACATTTAATTAAGGCATGTGTTCTTTAAATTAGTGTAGTTTACAGTCTTTTAAACTATTAAACCACAATCTCCATGTGCTTATGACCTTTATGTTAGTATGTTAGAATAGGGGCTATCAGAGGGTGAAAGTGGCATCTTTATGTTACCTGTATGTTTTGCAGATCTATTGTCTTTTTTGCACAATATTTCAGATTCATGTAGTCTTGAGGGACTAATGCTGAAGTTTCTTCTGGTGACTCATCAAAGGAAGTAAGCCTCATAGCTCAAGAATCTCAGGCTCTTCTACTCCCTGCTATCTCCCTGATGTTGCACACTAGGCTGAGTGAAATGATTGCTTGTGGTCTGTGGCATCCCAAAGTGTCTCTTATCTCCCTCCTGCTTATGTATGAGTGAATAGAGGTTGAAATTGCAACCTCAAGTGTCCATTCTTTGCATAAGAATGACAGG